GAAGCAGGAACGGGTATAAAAGAATCCGTGCTGAGGATGCTTGTTATCGAGTACTGTTGAGGTACAGGAGAGTTCCTACCAGGCTGGGTATGGATGGTACAGCGTGGGCTGACATTCAACTCAATGCTCTGATTATAGGTTGCAAAGGGTAAACACATCCCCAGATAGTAGTGTGAAGATCAGAATATCACTCCACTCAGGTTGATGCAAGCATATCACGATTGAGGGGTGTTTTTGCCAGTCCTTGGAGAGATACAACTCGACTAGTGTCCTTGTTACCAGTTGCTTTACCAGTTACTGACTGCCCTGGAAATATCTCAGATCGTTGAGACGGTGTTGCTCTTTCATGACTGGAGTTCTCCTGCTCAAGACATGGTATAATAGTTTCTATGTCCTGCCTTTGTCTTTCAAGCTGTTCCACAATCGGGGTCATCAGGGTTGAGGATACTTGGGGTGCCGGGTATGTATGGTGTAGATATATATCATCCGACGCTGCAGCTATCACGGGTAAGCAGCAATATTTCCAAGCATACAATAATCATGGGCAGAGTCTGCATGAACCATTGAAGACAATGGGTAAGAGGGGCCAGGCAACCATGGATTAATATAGCAAGCACCAATGTTGCTGTTTTGTTTCACCAGCAGATCCCGAGATTTCCCAACCCGGCCAAGTGGGCGGGGCCGGAGCACCACAACAATGGCTGTTATTGACGGATTCCCCTCATCGATTGATTGATGCATGCATGCCTGCATGCCATTGAGGGCAAGTCAAATGCCCACTAAACTGGAACCGGTAGGATGCTCCTATCTTTGCTGACATCCCTGCTTTCTGTATGATTTCTTTCTCCAATCATCCAAATAAGCATTCCCCCGACCAAACCCTCTCTGGCAAGACCGTCCGCTATGCACGGATGAGGCTGCACTAACCCTCACTAACCCTCACTTTAACCACTTGTTAACGCCTTTTAAACCTGCGACTCCACCGCCTCCCGTGCCGATACCCGTTTTTCCTCTTTGGGTCGACTTCATCCTCCTCTTCTGCCAACTTCTTTTCTCCCATTCTTGCTGGGATGACCCACTCCGACCGGTCTCGTCTCGGCCAACTCTCGCCCCCGGTCGGGTTCCCGATCATTCCATCTGCTCGATAATGCGCGTCAGTGGCTGTCTGGCGGGTTGTCTGGTATGACCGTTATGTGCCCGGTGAAGTTGACATCACTCACCATGGAGCCTCGGCTGCGGCAATCGGCACTTGGGGGAAGGGAAGGATGCTTTCATCTTGAAGCTTGTACTTCCTTCGCGCCATCATCATCGCTTAGGTTTGATGTACCTGGGACTTCCCTGGGCTAAGCATCCGGGCCGCGTCCGGGCACGACTCATCCGTGGAAATCAGCCGGCGTGGCGTTGATGCCAATTTTGATGCGGGATTATCCTCCAAGTCTATATCGACATCTGCAGAATGACGATAGTATGGAACTAGGGCTCTCTGCATGCTGTCCTGAGACTGTCTCCCCCTGTCAGGCTCCACCGCCGATCCCTGAGCACAATTGCGCCTGTGTCGACTTTCGATTGAATATGCTCCATTGCTATCGGATGGCGGCATCGTTCGAGAATGGCCTCCACGGCCATACTCGTTGCCTACAAATACCCTCGTCGCCCTCGCATATCTGGGTCATCTGATACACAGCTCAACTCCCGTTGCCTTTACCTAGTCTACAGTTTCTAATAATTCTTCATCTGCTTTCTTGTGCCAAATACATCTATCCCAGAACCAACCCACCCTATACGATTTACTCATGTCGGACCTGCCCGGTGAAAGACTCTGGCCCGCGATCGTCGACCACCGCGCGCGCTCATCCCCATCGGAGCTCGTCGGCCTCATCCCCAAGGGCTCTGAAGTGTCCGATGGCTACCAGGAATTGAGCTTTGCGGGGCTCGCCCGTGCTGTTGATGCGTGCGCTCGCTGGATCGAAGCTCGCATCGGCCGAGCCAAACAGCCCGAGACCATCGCGTATATGGCCACGAACGACGTGCGGTACTTGGTATTCATCCTGGCCTCTCACAAGACTGGCTATCAGGTAGGACAATACCCCCACCACTCACTCACCTTGGGCCAGCACTAACCACAACCAGCCTCTTCTGCCCTCTACCCGTCTCTCGGACGACGCCTACAAGCACATCCTCACCGTCACCAAGTGCCAGAAATTCTTCTACACCCCTGACAAGCAGCGCCGTGTATCGGAGATTCAGACTGCCCAGCCCGAGACCCAGATCTTCGAAGTCCCCTCTCTGAGCGAGTTCCTCGAATCCGAAAGTTCCCCTTACCCGTTCGAAAAGTCATACCAAGAAGCAGAGGATGAGGTGGCCATTATCATCCACAGTTCCGGGACAACGGGCATGCCCAAGCCCGTGCCTCTCACCCACGGCTTCCTCGCAACCATGGACATGGGCGCCTATCTCTCGCGCCCTCAAGGCCGTCAGTCCTCGATGTTCCACGATCTCGAACCGGGACAGCTGGTGATGTCGACGACGCCGTTGTTCCACCTGATGGGCCTCATCGCCTTCACCGAAGCTCTGTTCCACGAGATCCCATTCGTCATGTGTCCCGACAAGCCCCTGTCAGTGGACATCATTGTCGACGTGGTTCAAGCCACGCACCCCACCGCCGTCCTGCTACCGCCATCGATCCTGGAAGACATGAGCCATTCCGCCGACGCGCACGCCGCTCTCCGAACTCTGGAGGCCGTCTACTTCGCGGGCGCGCCGCTCGCCCCGGAGGTGGGCGACCTGCTCGAGCAGGACACCAAGGTCATCACCGTGATCGGGTCCAGCGAGATGGGGCTGATCAGCTCCTTTGTGCCGCAAGGGGAGAAGGTCTGGGGCTACTTCGAGTGGAACCCGGCGTACGGCGTCGAGATGCAGCCGCAGGGGGATGGACTGTACGAGCTGGTGATCCCCCGGCGCGCCGACAGCCGGCGCATCCACGGCATCTTCCACACCTTCCCCGACCTCAACGAATACCACACCAACGACCTCTTCGTGCAGCACCCCGAGCGGCCCGACCTGTGGAAGTACCACGGCCGCAAGGATGACGTCCTCGTCCTGAGCAACGGCGAGAAGCTCAACCCCGTGACGCTGGAGAAGACGGTCGAGGGCCACCCGCGCGTCAAGCACGCCCTGGTCATCGGCCAGAGCCGCTTCCAGACGGCGCTGCTGGTCGAGCCCAGCGAGCCCGTGGCCGACGAGAAGGCGTTCATCGAGGCCATCTGGCCCACGGTGGAGCGGGCCAACGAGACGGTGCCCAAGTACGGCCGGGTGTCGAAGAACAAGATCCGGCTGGCCTCGCCCGCCAAGCCATTCCAGGTGACTCCCAAGGGCACGACCAAGCGCCGCGCCGTCAACAGTGACTACGCGGAGGAGATCGAGGCCATCTACGCTGCCGCCGCTGCGGCCGAGGCGGCCGGCGTGCCCCAGCTGCCGGACAGCCTGGACCTGGCGCACCTGTGCGAGTACGTGCGCAGCCTCGTCGCCGAGCTCCTCGCCCGCGCCGACCTGGCGGACGACGAGGACCTCTACGCCGCCGGCATGGACTCGCTGCAGACGATCCAGCTGGCGCGGACCCTGCAGACGGCGGTCTCCAACCGCCTCACCGACACCCCCGTCGCAATCAACCAGCAGCAGATCTACGCCCACCCGAGCGTCGCCCAACTAGGCCAGTATCTGGTCGACCTCGTGCACGGCCAAGCCAGCACGACGACCATCTCCCGCCCCGAGCGCATCGCCAACATGATCGAGAAATACGCCTCCCAACTCCCGCCCCCCAAGCCACTGCCCACCTCCCTTCCCGACAAATCCACCGTCATCCTGACCGGCTCGACCGGCTCCCTGGGCACCTACCTCCTCCACCGGCTGCTGACCTCCCCCACGGTCGCGAAGGTCTACTGCTTCAACCGCAGCGCGACGGCCGCGGACCGCCAACGCGAGAGCTTCACCACCAAGGGTCTGGACGCTGCCCTCCTCTCCGACGCCAACCGCGTGGAATTCCTGACCGTCGCCTTCGGCGCGGGGCACTTCGGCCTCCCCGACGCGACCTACACCTCCCTCCTGGAGTCCGTGGACCTGATCATCCACAACGCGTGGAAGGTCAACTTCAACCACCCGCTGGATTCGTTCGAGGACCCGCACCTGCGGGGCGTGCTGGAGTTCCTGCGGTTCAGCCACGCCAGCGCGCACCGCGCGCACCTGGCGTTCGTGTCCAGCGTGAGCACGATCGGGAGCTGGACGGCGGAGATGGGCCGGGTGGTGCCCGAGGCGCCCGTCGAGGACGTGCGCGCGGTGCTGGAGCAGGGCTACGGGGAGTCGAAGTTCGTCAGCGAGCGGCTGTGCTGGGCGGCGGCGCAGCGCTCGGGGATCCCGACGACGGTGCTCCGCGTGGGCCAGATCGGGGGGCCGACCACCCGGCAGGGGAAGTGGAATGTGGACGAGTGGGTGCCCAACTTGGTCAAGACGAGCGTGGCCATGGGCAAGGTCCCCAAGGATCTGGGCGGGTATGCCGTCGATTGGGTGCCTGTGGTGAGTATTCCTCCCCCTTTCTTGATCTCAAAACATATGAAAACATAAGAAACCGGCACACACACACACACACACACACACACACACACACACACACACACACACGCAAAGAAAAGAAACCGAAAGCTAACAAGTTTGATGGCACAGGACACCCTCGCCACCATCACCACAGAGCTCACGCACACCCGCCGCGGCGAACAATCCCACACCCCCCACCGCGTCTACCACCTCGTCAACCCGACCAAGACCGCCTGGGCCGACCTCGTGCCCGCCATCCAGGCCAAATACCCCCACGTGCAGGCGGTGGGCTTCGACGCCTGGCTCCAGGAGCTGGAGGGCATCCCCTCGCCCAGCGAGGAGGAGGTCCGCGCGAAGCCGGCGCTGAAGCTGCTGGATTTCTACCGCGGGCTGAGTGGGAGCG